AGGAAGTCGATGGATGCAGGTGGCTCAGGATCGTGCTTCTCGAGGCCTATGTTCAGCAGTGGACTTGTGAAGGGCTGTAATGATGATGATGATACCATTTCCATGCTCGCATTTTAAAAGAGTAACTGAGAGCTGTTGTACAGCCCATAGCTCTATAGTAAAATAAGTTTGAATTATTGTTATACCTAACGCTTTATTCAGTTATATACAAGTCATAATAGTTAACAGAAAAATATAAAAAAAGATTTGCTATGTATTTTAAAAATTACAAGCATTTACGTTGCTCTTTTCAACGGTTTTTTAAGTTGCTCCAAATTTTAACTTTTTCTTTTTATTATGTTATCCTGAATGATGCTTCTGAAAACTGTTGCTTAGAATTTACAGCCAACTGCTCCAGTCCAAAAGGAAATATAATTTTTCCCATCTGCTCCCATCTTCTGGGACAGCCTATATAAGCACAAATTTGTACCGTTGTAATGCTTGCATTTTACAAGTGTCTAGATTTAAATGGTTGACATAGGGGTGATTGATTTTTTCTGTATTTTTATGTAACTGTTTACAATTATAATTAGATATTGACAATATTACTTTGTAGTAGTATAGAAGAAGACATTGTATAAATAAGTGTTGTAGCTTGTTTTTAAAATGTTGAATATTCACATGAGTTTTCACTGTTGTATTTTATGTGTTCCGAAGTGAAATATATGGAGCGTAATTGATATGATAAAGGATTTTCTAGTTAGAGATTCATAGCATTTACTTGACCCAGGCATCATGAACCATTCTAACTAGTAGCCTCTACTAGTTAGAATGGTTCTAACTAGTAGGCTACTGGTTCTGGTCTCTGGTTGGAATGGTAATTTTGACAAATATCTTACAAAATGGCGTGCGACGGAAATTGAAATAGTATGAAATTTCTTGAACAAGAGCAAGTTACCCTCTGAATCCATCGAGCAGTGTGAGTTCTGGATTATCTAGCATTTTGGAAAGCTTCCCAAAATAAAACTTTTTTATTCTATCTGAGTATTTTTATTCTACCAGATGTGCTCAGAAGCGCCACATTTTTAAATTTTCTAAAGTTTGACTTTATGCATTACCATTTGTTCGTCAGGATTTCATCGGTTTATGCTGTTATTAAGCTAAAGAACTACTTAAAAAAAATTGTCAAACACTATAAAGACTATTAGTGAATACTGAGGTGGTAAGATTTGGACCTCTATACTCATTTAATGCTTACCCTTTTGAGAATAAACTATATTTGATCAAACGACTGCTGAGTTGGGAAGAACACTATCCCAGGAAGCCAAAAGAATAGGTAAAGCCATTATTAAACAGTTTACTAATGTAAAAAATCATGAAAGAAATGCAAAACTTGATTATCCGTGTGTAACGACAAGTAGAAATAATTAGAATACTTCATTTTTCATATTTGAAATATCTCGGAAAATAAAGGAAAGATATGTATTGAAAACTGTAAATTAAATAGTTGAATTGAGTAACATAATTGAAGAATTCTATGGAATTTCTGTTAATGGCTTAGAACTACGTAACAAAGAAGATATTTTTACCTTTCCAATAAAATCTTCACGTCTAGGTATTTACAAAGCAAAAATGACCGATGGTAACAGTTTCGATATTATTTTAAATCTCCAAGATATCAAATGTAAATTAGTACTTATGTGTCGATCATAATAATGAAATCTTATATTTTATATATCATTATTGCTACATTATATATAGCTACATTTAAATAGAAAAGGTTAGATAATTACTTATCTTTATTCCTTTGGATTTAATTTAGCATAAGAAACAATTTCACTCGATTTTTTTGGCAAAAACTAACTTGTAGTTATTTATTTTCATCATCACAATCGTGCGCTTTATTATGAAAAGTGTTTTCAAAAAAAAATACAACAGATATAACTCGTCGCCTTCATAACATACAACTGTAAATTTATATTAATAAAGTAAATGATACCAGTGACTGCATTTTTTACAGATATTGACGTCTTTTGTTGTTACATCGTAAATAATTTGTCTCACCTCATTCGCACATTATTCTCACTTGTATAATTTACCATGTGAAAAAAGACGAAATTGTAATAGAACTACATATCTACCCATATAATTATATGTATCTACCATATACTTAGAATATACTGGCATATAGACAGCCCGACAGCCCGAAAACGCGTGACAAATTTTGATTCGTTATTGTGTGTAACTTAGTGTTGCATATTTTACTTATATAGATTATAGACTAACGCTAAATGATTGCAGATTGCAGTGCGACCACGATACTGCTACTGGAAATGAAAATATTGCAAATAAGTTTAGTGCACGAAAATGAATAATTTCAAATGATAGTTCTAAAATAAATATAAATAATAATAATATATTTATTTCACTATGTTAGTGTATATTTATGTACATTTATCACTTTCATTTATATATTTATACAGTCCAACCAGACGAGAAAACTATTTAAATACCCCTATATCCTATAATAATAATAAATATAGTTTTTAATAATAATAGTAATAATATAAGTTTCTTTAGCAGAAGCAGCTAGCAGAAGCTAATCCTGGTCAGCCTCACGGGTCATCTGAGGCGACTGGGGCTCCATGACGGACCGCTCCGGGCTCAAATGCAGAAGGTGGTGCTCCTCGATTCCGCCCGCATCTTCCGCCGGTTTCTTTACCTTTCCCCCTAACCCTCGGCCGTTTGGTCTACCCTGCCGATGGCAGTATCTATGTATTATTTATTTATTTATGTTAGTACATTAAATATGAGTTTGTGTATATTTATCATTTTCTTTTATATATTTATTCAGCCCAACCGTATGAGAATAGTCCATAAATATCCCAAAGTAATAATAATAGGAGAAATAAGTCCCTAAAAGTTAAATTCTACTTCCGAGTCAACCATCTGGCCACGTATGAGATGGGCAACATGTCTATGTAAAATAACTATGAGGCTGACGGGGCATTGGGTACTCGCTTATTTGGATACCGACTCTCCAGCCCAAGCCAAGGTGGAACAGCATCTACCAACGGCTGCGTGGCTATGGGAAAGCACAGTCGTCTATAGTATGCGAATTCTGGAGAACAGAGGCCCTTCAGTTTTATTTACCCTTACCGAGGTGAACGCAGGGCTCTGTCGCGGGTTAACAGTATAGTCCCTAGCTAATCGTGGGAACAATTTTAGAAGTAGCAACTGAAAACACATATCTACCTAGCCAACAACTGATGTAGAAAGCATTTTCTCAAAACCCCATTCCCTGTCCACATCCCAACTTCCACCGTTCCCAAGGGCTTCGTGGAATATATCGTCCACGACATCCAAGGCCGGTCTTCGCAGACAGCGCATGACTTGAACAGTAGTTATGAACGAGCACATCATGCGTTGTTACTACCTCTCCACGAAATTAGATACTCACCTAGTAGGCTCCAGGTCAGATGCGGAAACGTTTTATCGAAAGATACCTAAGTTAACAAAAAAGTGAATGAATAAAGGATAGCTGAGTAAAAATTAGTAATTCTGAATTAAAAAAAAATTATTGCTAAGACTAGAACAATTAAAAGCCGAAGTGGCTAGAGCACTTCGACTCAGTAGAGTAATCAAGGTTAGGAGATATCGTGTATCACAAAAAATAAAAACAGACAAAGCCATCTTCGATCGCAGATAAAGTACACATTTTATAGGCGAGTTCTATCAAATACCAATAATATCTCGAGTAACACTCAGTTTCCTCTTCCTTAGAGAGCACATAGAATACTTATGGACAGGAATCTAGTCTAAAAGTGTAAGCCATCCTAAAGATATTATTTGGATTAAGAAAACAAGAACTGGAAGACAAGCGCCTGGTTAACACCATGTCGATGAAATCTGTGCGCTTTATAGTGAATGATGTCACAAAATCAGTGAACAAATCAGCTGGTGATCCTCAAGGTACCTCATGAGCTGGCAGTTGACAATGGACTCCATTGTTTTGGAGAACAAGGAGGTGATGGCGATAGGCCGGTAGTTTGACGGGTCTGAGCGGTCGCCTTTTTTAGGGATCAGGTAGACGAAAACCGTCTTCCATGGTTTTGGGACTACGCCTAGGGAGTAGGAGTACCGGAAAAGACGCGTTAAAACCGGTGCCAACTCTGGAGCACACGTCCTCAGCACAATTGGGGGGATTCCGTCAGGCCCACTCGACTTGTGAGCAGGTTGCGGTATGGGCCAGTGAGTTGTCCTCCCTGTGCAGAGATGGAAGAGATGGCTGATAGAAATTCCCCTGGACAGCCTTGGCGAGAGACCAGAATGCACGAGTTCCAGATGGAAGGTGAACTAGTTTCTCGCCAATTCTGCCTATGTGCTCTGACTTTGCCTTAGCAATGACTCTTTTGAAGGACCTGGACGCGGAATTATACTTCTTTTTTAGAGCGCTGGTGTTTACATCCCGGGACGTTGATGCGTCAGCCCAGGCTTGGTAGCACTCCTGCTTATAGCATGATGCTATTTTACAGGAGCAACCAAACCATGGCTGAGATTTGCCTCCGATGGGCACCAAAGACGAAGGAATAAAAAGTTACAATCCCTGAATTAAAACATCAGCGACAGAATCCGCAACAACATTGGGATCATCCGGCGAAAAGCAAACTCAACCCCAAGGGTAGGATGCAAAGAAAGACCGCATCCTATCCCAATCAGCTGACCTATGGTGCCAAACACGGCGACAGCCTGCAGAATGCAACTGCGATTTCAGCGTGAGTGGCACCACACTCCGGACAAGACAATGATCCGAGGAGCCTAAAAGGCCGCCGACGGAAATCTGATATCTGTCCGGGTGCATGATCCTCCACATCTATCCGAATCCGCGTAGGTAAAGTAACGAGTTGTGTCAGACCATATGCCAAGGCAAAATCATGAACAGATCTCCCCGCAGCTTGATATTATTTGTGACCACTAGTCATAGAAAAGAGATAGTCTGCCGAGATAATTTACCTCATCGTCTAGCAGCGGCTGATGGTACTTGCTGTTGTCTCGTTGAAGGTGGAGGCGGCTCCTTCGTTCTCTGACGCCCCGTCGGCTTGCGGCTCGGAGCTGGCGCTTTCCAGTTTAAATTCTTGTTGGACGGCGACGACCCTTTGCACTGTGACGACCTTTAGTTCAGCTCCCGATTTATTTATTAATTTAGAAGTTCTTAATGTATCTAAAAACTTTCGTCCAAGGAATAAGCTACCAATATTTATAAATTGCATCTAATATTTCTATTTACTCTTTAGTGTAGCCAGGATAAAACTACGCCTCGTGACTGAGTTCTTATTCTGTGAATCACACAATATGCGTGCTGTATCCATTAGCAATTTTAAAATCGTTTGATCTTTCGTATCTTTAGACAATAAAAATCAAATTGCTTCACTAAGACATGCATTTATCTACTCCTCTGTGACAGCAGCATTTATCTATGGATTCAAGGAGGTAGTGTCTATCATTTCCTAGTTAGCTAGAGTTAGATGTGATTCTAAGTACTCTTTACGAAGTTCCTTTGTCAATCCAGAAGCTGTTATAAATTCAAGGCCAATGGTCAAGTCCTTCAGAATATCCTTTCCAAAGGTTGTTGAAGGGTCTGTTTCAAAAATTTCTGATACCGTCTCATCCACATCCTAAGACTAATGATTCCCTTCTCGGTAAGAGATGGTTTTTCGGTCACTGGTTGTGTAAGTTCGAATATCACTTCAGGTGTATTTAACGCTAACAGCGATGTTGATTCTACTGTGATGTGCCAGTTGTCGGTCCTAGCTCGTCCATGTCCGCAGTTGCATTTCAACATTCACCAATTCGTTAATGACGTCATCTGTAACCGAAGTAATGTTGTGTGTATATTTTTGTATAGAATAATTATATTCAAATACTACTTTATTTGGATGTGTGATGACAAATGTAATATTTAGTGAGCACAATAAATGAATGCAAATCGGTAATTATATGTAATATACCTAACCAGGTAACAATAAATAACTTACGCACGTGTGTGTAAACGCACAAAAACAGCGGTTAAGATGATGAGTTCACGCGTTGCATCATGAACCCGAGTTTATAGGGATAGATTACAATTGGAGGATCAGTAAAGTTAATCCTTGTTGAAATCGGATAGTAACAACTCAAACCATTGAAAAATATATCTATACTTTGAGTTTCCGTTGACTTACGTACTCAATCCGGGGGCGATAATAATCTGCGGCGTTGGCTTTGTAACAGTTTCCTTTCTAATTTTTGTTGTTTTTATTCTTAATGTTATTTAAAGAATCCAAATCGTCGCGTTTCCTTTTTGGCATTTTTTATGTAAAAGTAATTTTAATGCTATAATTTAAATTTAGGTACTCTATAATTTATACAAAAATTAACGCCGTTGCAGGACGTGCGAAATGGCGGAGCACTGAAATCTGAAATATGAATGATGAATCGAGCGCAGTGCAACCGTGATCCACAAAGTAATGTTAATCTACCGTCTTGTTTTATTTTTACTTTAAACTAAGTGCGAAGATGGCGACATTGTATAAGTATGTGGAACTACCTGTGTTATCTAATCTCGAAAACGAACTGAAGCTTAAATGGAGTTTTTACTGTTATGTCAGATTCGTGATCTATACGTACATAAATATTGGTAATTTTTTTCTAGCTTCATTTAAAAGGAGAACACTATTATTGCATGGAAATTTACAAGCTTGTTAATCACCAGAAAATAATCGTTACACATCAAAACAAAAACATGTCTTTCTTGTTTGCGCACTGGATCGAAAATCGGGTTTCGGAGACTTAGAGCTTTTAAGTTTTATGTGTCGTTTTTAAGGTTCCGTAGTCAACTAGGAACCCTTAAAGTTTCGCCATGTCTGTCTGTCCGTCTGTCCGTCCTCGCTTAATCTCTGTGACCGTTAGCACTAGAAAGCTGAAATTTGGTACCAATATGTGTATCAATCACGCCGACAAAGTGGTAAAATAAAAATTGGAAAAAAAATGTTTTATTAGGGTAGCCCTTCTATATGTAAAGTGGGAAGTTATTTTTTTTTAATTTCAACCCTAACGTGTGATATATTGTTGGAAAGGTATTTAAAAATTAATAGGGGTTTACTAAGATCATTTTTTGATAATGTCAATAATTTCGGAAATAATCGTTCCAAAAGTAAAAAACAATGTGTGGCCCCCCCCCCCTCTAACTTTTGAACCATAAGTTTAGAAAATATGAAAAAAATCTGGAAAGTAGAACTTTATAAGGACTTTCTAGGAAAATCATTTTGAACTTGGATGGAAAGTCGAAGCGCCTGCCGCGGAGCGTGCAATGTTGCACGCTCCATGTTCGCGCACGTACCCACTACCGGGAGCAGTTGCAGGAGCGCGGAGCGCTGCTGGAGCGCGAACATAATGGATACCCACCTTTAAACTCATAAGTGGGAACACTTATTGTGACGGACGGGAAACTACGGAACCCTACACTGAGCGTGGGCCGACACGCTCTTGGCCGGTTTTTTTAAGTTCGAAACGGTTCCTGTTTATTATTACTATGGTTAAAAATGTCACACGAAGTAAATTGGCTTAAAAACTGAGGACTTACATTTTTTATTGAAAAAAAAATGTAATGAATGTATGGAGCAAATACGAAAATCCAGTGTAACCCTAGAATTGCAAAATTGCGCGTTATATACGATTTTTGTTTTTTTACGATTTTTTGACATATTTCATATTACTGGAAGTACTTTTTGTATTTGTTTTAATACAAAAAGATAATTGGTACAGGTTTTTTTCTTATAAAATGTCAGAAGAAAGGTTTATAACAACATCAAACCACCACCCATCCGATGGTAATAAAAATGTCTTTGATTCTACAGAAGTCTTCAAAGAACTAAACAAAAGCCGATAATAAAACCGTTAGTTGAAATGAGTATCAAGATTCATTAGTGATATGAGCAATCACTCATATCACTAATGAATCTTCATACTCATTTCAACTCATTAATTAATAATGACTTTTAGAATTATAAATATACTTCACTATGAGAAATAGGAAGTATTTAAAAAAATCGTTGAAAATAGAATATTGTTTATATAACAAGAAAAATAACAGAAATTGTAATACACATGTTGTTTTGTATGTTAGAAAATAAATCATGTGTACAAAAATAATAGTTATAAAAATAAATAAAACTTATCCTATCATAGCATAACTTTCTTTATCACTTTCATCGAAATCCAATTCCGAATATGATTCAATGTAGGTCATATCCAAAAATTCAATGTGGGTTTCCTGAATCTGTATTACCTAAGTCTAAAATGTCGCTGAATGGTGACTGTTTTATTTTTGGCATCTATATAAGGTCGTCTTGCCAATTAAAACATCGGAAGTTAGGATAAGCATGTTAAGAATATCCTCGTTAGAAGATTTTCTACTTAAAGATTTCTTGTATTTACGCGAACACTACACATTGATTAAAACTACTTTTACGGATTATATCGCGTATAATTTTACTTTTAATTATTTTTATTTTTAATTCCTGACGTTTCGGGTGCTTTCCAGCACCCATGGTCACGGGGGCTGAAGTGACCGACGTCCCAATGTCATTGTTAAAACCGGAGTACCTTCAGCTTTTTAAATTATTGTTTATGGTCCGATCTATGCAAAATGCACTGACTATGTCCTGAGGTCTTGCAGTGGTATACTTGGATTTAGGGTCCCAAGCAGGTGGTAGTACCCAGCCTCCTTCTTACTAGCCTCACGTATCATCCTTGGTGAGAATCGGTGTTCTTTCGCGAGGATTTGTGGTCTATCAAATCTGATGTAATGGTTGGGGCCGTCTAGGATATGATTACAAACTGCAGACTTCCCGGAACGTTGATGCTTCACATTTTCTACTCTTTTTCCGGGAATGATGTTTCGGAAACCTCCTAAAATCTTTGTTCCGATCTTCTGAAGCTTCTTATGATAGGCCCCCATATAAAATCTTTGAATTTGGTGACATTGATTACCTCTCCATATGTTATGGGTAGCAAAATCATAACAAATAAGTATACGGCTTGTCCGTCCTCTTTGTCCAAACTACAGTCATAGTCGCAGTTTTATCGGGAAACTGAAAACGTATTCTTGCCGTGCTCTCATCGTTTGTGGCTCCTGATCCTTGTTTGATAATGTCGACTAATAGATTAAGACCAGCTTTAAATCTGTTCTGATTTTTTTTTTCTTGACTCGAACATTTCTTCGTGTTTATCTCCTCTTGCAACCCAATTTTTAAAATCGCGTCTATAAGAAATGTGTAGTAGACACTCCATGGAATTAATACGGGCATGTGGCGATGACAATCCGAATGCATATACATATATAGATGTTCTCTTGTATGATACTAATTCTAATTTGTTCATTTCAGTTGGTTTGGTTAAGCAGATGTAGCACGTTGCACTTGATTTTGCTTCTGAGAGACAAGTACAAATCTTGTCATCAATCACCGTCAATATCGGTTTATGATCAACTTTGTTTGTATCGCACTTGGTGGGGGTTAAAGCAGCAATTTCTTTATCCATTTTTCCTTTTTGATCGATCAGCAACGCTTTCCTTCACAAAACTAAACTGCACTGTCCGACAATATGAAGTTGAATTGGGTTTCGGATTCATCCAAAGAGTAATATCTCCGTCCGCGTTATCAACAGTCAGTTTAAGAGGCACCAAGAAGGTCATAAAAATACTGGAATCATCTTAATCCCCGTCCATATTCTGCTTATATTGGCTCTGACTGGGAGCATCATCAAATCCCCATTTAGATAGAAAACCTGTAGCATTTTTGCACAAACTGCTCTCATTTAGGGATTAAAATTTGTTAATTACTAAAATTTTGACATTCTCATCTGCGTCAATCTCATCTCATTTTTATATTTGAGGATAAAATTAAACATTTTATGACACCAGAAAACTCGTACTTTAAAAAAAATGCATGAAACACGAAAAATTCGAAGATATACAAATATACTTATTCTTAACCCCTCGCGATCGCGAATGTTAAAACTAGAAGTTAAAACACTTAATTCAGTTTAAATTTATTTAAAAGGTATATAAAAAAACAAGGATTCTGTTCACCGATTGATGCCATCAAGCAATGCATGAAACGTTATCGTAGATGACAAATATGTTACAGTTACTGATTATTTTGGCAGATAACACTGCATTATTGCCTGTTGGATCTTGAAGTAAGACGAATACATGTCTTCAGCAACTTCTCAAATTGCAGTTTCCCCACAAATTCATGTATTGCCTCTTACTTAATTTTAAAGAAAGCATCAGGCCCACTACTTTTCTGGCGTTAAAGCTGGCGAAACTGTTTTCTCAATCTTTAATCAATTTGTTAAATTTTGAAGCTGCTTAAGGATTTTTGTGCATGTGATCAATAGCGAAAGCAATATCGTCACGATCATCTTCTTCCATAAGTTTTGCAGCTCAGTGCAGTAATTAGATTAGGTCTTCGCCTGTACGTTCGGTAGACCTTTTTTTCTGCTTTGTTTCTAGATCTTTGAAGGGTTTTCGAGATATTTTGTCATTGTTGCAACTGAGGATGAAGTTGAAGGATTTGCAGTTGTAAAATCTTCACTGGATGACTCTTCTTGGCGTTATTGAAGGATAGTATGCACTCAACGTGGACAATTTAATTTAGAATCTAGACAATGTTCATATTCTTTCCGAAATCTATCACTATTCAGGTCGGTTCTCTTCAACTTCCATTCAGTAGCAAGTCTGAATCTCCGACCAAATTCTCTGAGAGTAGCAATGTCTTCTTCAGAAAGCCTGAAACCCAGTCGAGTTAGCACTTCACTAAGCAGTACTCCATGATTAAATGAAGTATTCTGACTTTTCAGAATTGTAACTAAATCCAGATTAGTTAAACTTTCAGTATCGTCAATCATCGATGTTCGTTACTAAGAAGTTCAAAAGAAACTGACCTAATAAATATATTATTAGGCTATTTATGACCGCTTACAAATGATCCATTAATGACACTTTACTTATTAAGTAGTATGAAAAACAAGAAGCTTAATAATTAGCTTTAACAATTTTGTGAACACTCAATTAAGATATCATCAAACTTGACCTAACAGAGCTGCGTAACAATTGTGTCTAGAAGCTTTTGTTATTCAATGAGTTCTTAAATGATCTGATTACGAATTGTTAGTAGTATGAGCAAACACTTATGATTTTATTATTGGTTTTCGTTTAGTTCTTAGAAAACCTCAGTAGAGTAAAATATTTTTATTACCATCGGATGAAGGGTGGTTTGATGTTGTAATAAGCCTTTCTTCTGACATATTTTTAAGCAATGAAAAACCCGTATCAGTTATCTTTCTGCATTAAAAATATAAAAGCAAGTTTAAAAAATATAAAAAAAATTTTACGATTTAAAAAAAAATGCAGTATTTCTCTTAGTACGAAGTATGTCGAAAAATCATAAATAATTAGTATTATAACCACCTGTAAGGATATAACGCGCAATTTTGCGATTCCAGGGTTTTACTGATTTTTCGTATGTGCTCTTACTGCACATTTATTTAATTTTTTTTTTTTTGTAAAAATATCATAAGTACTCCGTGTGACATTTTGGACCATACTAATAATAAACAGAAGCCACTTCAAACTTAAAAAAACAACACTTAAACTTAAAAGCTCTATCAAACTTAAAAGGTCTTCGAAGCGCAATTTTCAATCCAGTGTAGGCCGCCCCTATACTTCTCCTACCGATACGAGGCTGCCACTCGAAAACTTCTTTTCGGTTGTCGGTTCTTCGAACTATTTGGCGGGCCCATTGCCACTTCAGCTTACTAATCCGTTGAGCTATGTTAGTTACTCTGATTCTACTGCGGATATCCTCATTTTTAAATTTATCACGCAAAGAATCCCCGAGCATAGCCCTCTCCATAGCTTGCTGAGTGGCCTTGTGCTTCCTCATCCCCTCCCTCCCCCCCCCCCGGCCAGCAGTGTAGGACCACGTCTCAGATCCATAAGTCATCAACACGCACTGGTTATACAATCTTGTTTTCAAGTTTTGAGGTATATACCTGACGAGAAGATGCGTCGTAACTCTGCCCAGCCGAGTTAAATGGGTCGAAGTTGGCCTTACAACTTCGATCTTAGTGCTCCCAACTACTACCGGCCTAGGTTTGACGTGGACCATGATCATGTTTTGATGTTCATGATCTTTGTTTTGTCCATGTTCATTTTAAGACCTATCTATTGAGTGGCACTATTGAGGTCATTGAGCACAGTGCTGAGGTCCTCCAGCGATTCTGCCATAGGGACTTTATCGTAGGCACATCGAAGGTGAGTGTGTTAATACCGTATCCTATATAGAAAATAATGGATATAGAGAAAGCATTAAATACTGCTCACATCTTAATATCTCAAAAATGTATCTTTTATAAATTATACATTGTTTGGTACAAGATTACGATGATTTACCGATGGCCACAAAACACTAATATGAAACATTTTTTTAATATAAAATAACATTTTATATTCATATATCAAGCCAATAGGGATCAATATTACTCATGCTCTATGCATATATATAATCCATCAAGAATATTAAACGTTTAAAGTTGCATAATTTATGTTTGTGTAGTCGTAAGGGTTATCAAATAACTGAGTGGGTTCAGAGAGCGACGAATCGGATTCATTGTCCGAGACCACTGCGGAAGATATCACTACATACTCGGTTTAACGTGTCAGTTTTCCGCTCGCCCACTACGCGAGATTTCGAGTTTCACCCCTACGTGGTTTGTACCATTATCCGAGTACACTTTACTTATGGGGCCGCGGCGAGAAAGAAACCTCTTAAATTCACCCATGAATCTAGCCGTGCTTAGATCACCGGCGATTTCTATGTGTACGGCGCGAGTAGACAAAACATACGAAAACGCAAAGATACACCTTCGTGGATCTTACACCACGCCCGCGAGTAAACGTGACCTTGAATGGACCAGCACAGTCTGACCCGGTGTGCATAAAAGGCTTTGCAGATTGGGTTACACGGCAAGACCTAAGGTCCGCCATTTTCGGAAATGACGGCCTAGGACTAACTCGAAAGCAAGCTATACATCTGTGCACCCGATTGCGAATTAAGTTGCGTGCAGAAAGAATCCAGTTATTCTGACGCTAAATGGACATCAACAATTCAGGGCCAGCGTGACAATTCAATTTATGGTGGTAATCAACTAATAAATTCAAAATATGATCTTTACGCGGTAAAACTAAAGGATGTCGTTGATCGAAACTCAAATGTGAGTTGGATAAACACCCACCCGCTATAATAGGTAGCCCCATCCTGCAAAAATGGCTTGAGGCGTTGAAAAGCGCTCGGCATAACTATAATCGGACGCAATGATATACAGACGTCGCGATAAAAGCTTTACAAATCGACAAACGTAAATCACGCTACGCAATAATTTCGACTAGGAAGAGAAACGGTTCGCCAAAGCAATGATTGGAGAAACCTCACTGGAAGCACTCAACCAGAGCGTGCCTCTTCTCTTCCGATGGTTGGGATACTGACGAAGGCTCAAAATCAGCTATGGGCTACTGTGAGGGTTCCAAGTGAATCCAAGAAGATCCTTGAAAACGTAGCGGATGATCTATTATTTGTATCGGAGTAAGTTCACGAGATAAACAATCAGCGGGATTTTCTGTACCGGACACATGATAGAAATTCTGTAATCCTAACTCGATGGATGGATCGAGTGATCTGGATCTTGGCCACTCGGTTCGCGACGAAAGTATCCCAACAATGGAGTGAAGAATGAACACAACGCAGAGCGACGGATAATTCGGAAAAGGCAAATATTATCTATGTGAATTCGGTCATTACATGCACTAGTAACTGCGGTGATAAGCATGGCAAGAACCAAAATTGCGCAAAGCTCTAGGCGCGCGAGAGACAGCCTTATGAAGGGAAACCCTTGATTTAGAGCTAATGAGGCTGACCGAATTGTTCTGGACGTGAAAATATACAACGCACCCGTAAGCCTTCTCGCTAGCATCTGCAAACCCAACGACAGTGACGACGCTATCTTTACAGACGTTTATATGACGTGGTATTTTAATTTCACTTCCTAAAGAGAGTTCCTCCCTAAAACGTAGCCACAAACGAATAATGTTATCGGGTAGCGTGTCATCCCAATCACATTCACATAACTAAAGTTGTTTAATCAAAAGCTTAGCGTACAACACCACCGGTACTACAAAACCCATGACTCTCTTGCTATATAGTCAACCTTTTACAGCATCAAAACCTTCATTAGCCATCTGTAATAAATGTGTGAGGCACCAAGTCGAATGACGTTCTATAGCCTATTCTGGTGACTGAAGTTTCGACGGTGGTGTTTAACGGTTAAACACCACCGTCGAAACTTTAATGATATTGGTGACCGCGTAAATTGGCCAATTAGGACTGGATCCTTAGCCTCACGACTATCGCCTCTTCATCCATTCTGAGCGTGCGAAATTGTGAGTGTAGATATATGTTTCGGTGCATGATTTTTGCGCTTAAAATGGATGTCAATGTCTTTTAAATGTTGGGTATACTTTACTTGTGTACTTATTTGGTGTCGTACCTGGGTCTAAGGTAAACTAACATTTAGAAAACTAATAATTAAGTTACTCCAACTGTTAAGACAGTGGGAAGTTATTTCTGGGTACTATTATATTCTATGCTTCTGGTCATGCTTCTTGGAACTGTCGGGCGAACACAGCGCGACACACTACGAAACCACTTTACACAGTAATAATACAGCTCGTTGCGTTTTGGACTTTTCCAATTCGAATCTCTACAAACCACCTGATGAGTATACGTAGCACCGTAGCACTTTGTATGCGTCTAATGACACTTGCCTTTACAATACGTTCAATTATTCTTCTCTGGGCTGGGATAGGCTACTTTGCCCAGTAGCGCGTAAAGCCGAAGAAAAGCTTGGCGTCAATGTTGCGACAGGCTGCCAATGTGGCAATGATTGTTTCGCAAATCTCCCAAGTCACCGGTTTCTAAATAGGTTGTCAACATGGATTCAGAGACCTCACGTCATCCCGATTTTACTTGCTTAGCAGTGTAAGTAGTAATATTAGTCTTGGTCGATTTTTGAGAGATCTCTATTTCGTGAGAGACCATTCCATCATTGTCTGAATCTCTGAATCCAATGGTGCTGTAGGATTCACATAATTTTTATAATTATTATGTTGCTTATGCAGTAACATAACATATGGAGTAGATACTATTTTGCAATTAACCTGCTGTAAACTACAAAAGTAAAAAGAAAATACTGGGTTATAAATTTTTCATTTATTTGATAAAAAAGTACTCAATTCCTAATACAAACTGGACAGTTGGATCAGTCTTAACATATATAAAAGTAATACATATTATTAAACTTATCAAAAATGTTATCTTAATAAGGTGACCTGTTTTTTTTTCCAGTAATAGCTTTCATATCTTTATTATGTCCTCTTTAACCCTAACAGCGAGTTGCAGCAATCACAATATAATTTCAACTTAGCTGGTTCGGCATCAGTGTGTTCAATTATTTCCGGTAGGCGGCGCCATAAGTTTCATTCCGAATTGATTACGGACTGTTTCAAAGGCGTTAATTCTAATTTTAAATAAAATAAAAAAAATGTAAATAAAATTTATTAAAACCCAACCAGAGCATTTTGTGATATTCTTATTTATAAATCAACTTATATTGTGGATATGAGTATTTTTGTCTATAAACTAATATAGAATTTGTTAATAAGTTGACTACAGCACCACCTATGGAATCATAGCATAGCTATGTACAATTCTCTGGATAAAACAAATATATTGTGTAAATATTTACTAAATATGACCTCAATTGGTGATATCATTCAGAAGTTACACAATCACTATCAGACACACCAAAAATAAGGATGTATGAGTTCTTAGTTTTTTTATGTTATGAAGATTAAATATCTGCTATAAGAACACTTACTTTACTAATAAAATTGTGCCCCCTTACTGTATAACATACTATTTAGTCAAACAAATATTTTTAACTTTACATAGTGCTGATAAAGTGAACACATGGTCTAAACATGTTGAATGTTTATCAACCAGCAAATGACTCCTTGAATATTATAATATTTTTTGTAAGTGTTGGGTCAAATACACTTACTTTTTTAATCAAATAATGTTTCATCATTATCTTATCACAACATGTTAGTAACATTTTAGTGTTATTAACTTAAGTTAGAAGGCCCTAATAACGAGAATGATTTACATAATGGTCCAATATAATTAACCTTACAGTCTCTGTAAAATTATACAAACTAATAAACATTTTAATATTTATGGATACCAGATAGAGAACATAATTTACTAGCAAAAATATAAAGTACCACTCTTAAGAAACAAAAAAGATGTTCTTTCAAATCACCACATTTTACTGATAAAGTAAAAGTCGGTCTATATTAATTTTTAAAGATTAAAAATAAAAAAGGAATCTTAAATTTTATAGCACTGAGATTCTTAATCATAACACATTTATACATTTTTATGACATTCATTGGCTATTTGTCAATTTATGAGATATATCTATAAAAAAATAGCAGGCAGTGGCATTTAAAAAAGAAATTTCAGGTAATGTGGGTGCCAAAAGCAGATTTTTCATGCTTTAAGGAAAAGCTATTTTTTGTCATTAAAAACTACGAATCCACTTTTTTTTAAAATTCATTATGAAAGTTAAAGATTTTTCTTAGTGAATTATGTTGGCCAAAACATGATTGACACATATCGGCTTGATAGAAAAAGATCACAAAGTTTCCTCAAAATCTACAATTTTAGGTACATCCACTAAGTGAAAAAGCTGTTTCATTTGAATGTAATGAAATCAATTTCAATTAAATTCAGGCTATGTGTTCAGCAGTAAATACGTGAGTGAATTATGGGTTTATTTTTCAATAAAAGAGTATATATAATTTTAAAAAGAAATATCAAATAAATATTGTGAAATTAAATAGTGCGCGGGCCGACCAAACAGTCCATATAAAGCGTGAAAAATCTGCTTTGGGCGCCCACTTCATCTAAAGGCAATATGAAAAATGTAAAAGGAAATAAAATAAGTTAGTTAATTAAGTAACTAAGTATTGTGAATGGTATTTGTGGTCATTTTACTACTGCTTAGTATTAACCCTATAAAGTATATATATTATTATTCAATTTATAGTTCCCTAATTTATTTTTATTAATATTAAAAGTTTCATTTATGTTTTTCAATTTATATTTATTTAATTATTTGGAAAAGTCCCCAAAGAAATTCAAAAGTCCTTAAACAAGTAACATTATTTTTTTCTTTTTATAATTCCGGTGTAAGAGATACCTCCTCCAAATTCATTAACAACACTTGGAAAAATTAACAATTAATAGAATAAATATAATAAAAGAATTATGAGAAAATACTTAAAATAAATCTGGGCACATACAACAAAGTAAATATGATAATAGGTAAAGGACTTAACAAAGATGATGAATTGCACCCGTCTTTACTATTGCAAGTGCAATACTCTACGAAGATATTGTAAGTTCCAGTCCTCATCAAGCAGAATCTTTCGTCTCCTTGAATCCCAACTTCACCTAAATAGGCACAATCTCTAAAATAACGCCATTCACCATTTACTGAAAAAAATATACTAGTTCAGTAATTAGTTCTAGTTTACAATAATCCGCAATTGAGAATTCAGTGATGCAACATTAGTTTGATTTTGAGTGGATAGCAAATTACAAGTATATTAAGGTGTGTACTTTGGCATTAGTAGAACGGGTTATAAACAAAGTAAATCACAATGCTGATTTGTGAGTCAAAAATAAACAGTAGTAAACAGCCATTTCAGAAACCCCTATAAAAAAAATCCGTAGTAAAAACAACAAACCTTTTTGACGAATTTTTCGGCACATGCTAGATTTCATACCAGGTAAATGTGCCAATCCTTTTTCTTCCTTACAGTCCGTAATTGGAACAGTGCTATTATCAAATGGATCAGCACATTTCGGATCGTTACTAGATCGACAATTCCAACATTTAATACAAAAACCTAAAACATAAAAGTTGAGAAGTTAAAAAAAATATTAAATGGGAGTGGCTGGCTTATCATGAATGTAACATTGTAGTTCAAAATTACCTCTGTTTACGAAGAAAAGAAATAGTATAATAGAAATGAACCATTTTGAGATTAAGGGCATTTTTAGCTTAAATCTAAGTAACTAAAAATAATGATATAATCCGTTTGAAGTAGATTACTGGACTCAAGGGAGTCAAAATAAATACTAGGGATGTTCGACGATCATCGATGTTCGACGATCATCAATGTTAAAAATTAAAACATCGATGCTGCCACATGTCAAACATCGATGTCAATGAACCCATAATCGATTAATAGGAACCTGTGAAAAACACGAACCCGCGAAATCTATATCAACTAAACCTTGCGTCTTTTACTAAGGGTTTAAAATTTAGAATAATTCATCACGCACGGATCACCTAAAAAATATCATTATGGTGTATCAAACTTCACTGTCAAGTGTGAATTGTAATGTCACATTTGTCACTGCTTTCGCTTAGATATTCTGTAGTAACGTTGTGGGTTGTCGCCTAACAACGTATTCTACGTAAATTGGTATTCAAATTAATTGTTTTCCCCTTGCTGTTTATACCCACATAATTTTGAAACAATATGTAAGTATCCACACAATATATTTTTTTAAAGAGTACTAACAATGCTATAAACATTACTGATATTCCCCTTAACCATTCGTGGTAAGCTTCAATTGCATTGTTACGAGTGGTTCACGCCAGTAGTCAAACGGCGGATTCGAACCCACGACCTTTTTGAGTCCGCAGTCCCGTCCTGCCATTAGGCTACTGTCGCTTACATTTGCTTAATTTAGCTGCATTTTTTAAGCTTATTTTTATTTATTTTTTAGTTTATTTTCTGCTTGAACTTGAAGTTTATGAAAATAGATCACTAAACGAGCGTGAGCATCGACAATTTCACTGCATAGTGCAATCGACAGTGCATTTTATAAACAGGATACCTACTGCTTGGGCTGTCTGATTAACCTTTCAAACCCCTAGCGGTCTCATAAGACCGCAGCCATATTCCGTCAAATCCCTAGCGGTCTCATGAGGTTGCACCCACCCACAGCACTTTAACCTACAAAAACTTATATATAGAGACTACTTTTCTATGAAGAAGTTTAGCATTATATAATCAATATAAAATGTTCAATCCTCTAGTGCAATAAAAAACTGTTATTTTATCCATATTTATTTATACCTACCTACTTACCACTACTACTACCCTACGTTCATTTCGTACGCCATTTTCGCGTAAATGATATTGTGTTGATTTTCGGATTTTTATAGTGTTTTAGTATAGTGTTTTATTATCAAATTGTAATAAAAGTTTTGGTGTGAATGTAATTTATCTTCTTACGTAAATAATTTCGAGTAATATATATTGAAATAATTGTGATTTTCACGCTGCCGACATTCGCTTGGTATGTTTTTTGCTATCTAAATAAAATAAAATCGTTTTGTAATGAAGTAAAAACTGACTTTTGTTTGTTTAGATCACAGGATAGAGAATCTTGTATAGATTTTATAATGCCAAAATTCTTCATAGAAAAGTAGTCTCTAAATATAAATTTTAATGGTTTTAAGTACTGTGGGTGGGTGCGATCGCATGCGACCGCTTGGGATTTGTCGAGGTCATGCGACTGCATATGATTTTTACGGCGCTTGAAGGGCTAAAATTTGTCAACAAAGGTAACGGAAAAGTCTATTAATTTGTGTTTGCGTGGTTTGTTGATTTTTTTTTCTCTAAAACCATATTTTTTCTTTCGCAATAAAAGTAGTTGATATAAAAACTAAGTCCAAGTCGTAAATTATCCTACGCGGGCCCCGTCTTTGCCCATCCTACGCGGGCCCCGTCTTTGCCCACGCAAACCCTAATATTTTAAATGAACTCCAAATAGTTCAGAACCTCTTCTGTCGTCGAGCTGCGAACGCACCTTGGTACGTCCGTAATGCCGACCTTCATCGGGACTTAGAGCTCCCAAAAATTCAACAATTTTTTAAAAAACTCTCTAGAACTTCTTCAAAGCCTCAGAGTCGCACCCAAACCATTTAATTCGTGAGGCAGCTTCTTATGCAGCCCCACCCCCCCTCTCGCTATCGTGTCCGCAGGCCGAAAAACTCTCTCTCGGACCCGCCTAATAAACTGTCAAACGACCTGAACTGTCTCCTGGCGGCTCAGGCCAACTCTAATTAAATTAAATTATTGTAATAACTAACATTAATTTGCCTTCGTAGGCACTCCCTCAGCGGCACTTAGCCGCCTGCGCCCTCTTTTCCCAAAAGAGGGTCGCTAATGATAAGGCACAATACAGCTTGATCAGCCGGCTGCCTGTCCCCAAAGGCGGTTTTTAGAGGGTATCACTTAGGGTCCCCGGTAGGACAGTGAGCCCCTCATAACCACGATAGACCGACTATCGTGGTATGCGTAATGCATTTTCCGCCTCCCTACGTATAGGGTAGCCCTTTAATTGCTTCGGGCGCAAAAAAAAAAGTCGTAAATTAGCTGCCATAGTAAATTTTTTCATACCAGATTTGTGAATGTGTAGAATATTTAAAAATCAAGATGGTAATATTAATCATGATCGGCAAGAAATATTATAATATTATAACAAATGAACTAAATATTTGTTAACTTCTTCCCATTTTTAAATTTCTGACACTAAACTGTAAACCACATGACTATTTTTTTATTTCTCACCTATTAAATAAGTACACGTGCAAAAAATATCGATAATAGCAAACATCGATGTTATGAGCAGGATAAACATCGAACATCGATGTTAAGCTATCGATACCAACATCGATCATCCCTAATAAAAACAAAACAAGCGTTTAAATTCATTTATAGTTGCATACTCATAGAGCGGAGGTTAGAGAACAGGAAAACGATCGCTGTAGAATATTGTGTCCCAGAAATATGGACAAAATAAGTGAGGCGCTGCAATCGTTAAGTTGTCTCAATAAAAGCCCGCTATGGTATGCTAGTTTGAAATGATTATAATATCCATGAAGGTTAGAGAACAGGAGAACGATCACTACGTACTAAAGCATAACCCTGCTCGCTTGAAAATTGTAGAATTTTTAGCAGCGCTGATGTCGGTGAGTAGTGACTGCGAAGTTAGCTGTTTATGAGTACAAGTAAATGAAGTTAGGTGAAAATGTACAAATTTTCTATCGATCTTAGCGATCGCAGCGCCTCACTTATGGTGTCCATATTTCTGGGACACTATTTTCTACGGCGATCGTTCTCCTGTTCCCTAACCTTCATGCCATAGACATTGCTTGTCGACCGTAGACAGCATGAAGGTTAGAGAACAGGAGAACTATGGAGTGTAGAAGTAAGGAGGACTGTGTATTAAAAAGTGTCCGTAGAAAACTGTTAAATAAGGGTGGCGCCACTATAACTACGGGGTAAATTTTAAAGAATGCACCGAAAAATATTAGTGGGATAGATGACTTTTTCGAGGTTATATTTACTAAATAAAATTATTTCAAATTTTAGAGCTACTGAGCAGTTTAGCAGCACACTTATACCGTCGACAACTGCTAAGTTCATTTCATCCCAGTAACTACTCTAACGCTGTTGTGGAGAGTTTTCGAACTATTATTTACTGAATAATGATTTCTTATATTTACGCGAATACTACACATACATACTACACAGTGTACTTGTGAAGGGCTGTAATGATGATGATGATGACTATCCTTGATACGTATCATCCTTGATACGTGAGGCTATTGAAATTAAAAAACATCCTAATTTCAATAGAGAAGGAGGCTGGGTACTACCAACTGCTTGAGACCCTATAATCAATAAAATTAAAACTAAACCCAAGCATACTACTGCAAGACCTCAGGACATAATCAGTTCATTTTGCATAGATCGGACCGTAAACAATAATTAAAAAATCTGAAGGTACTCCGGGTTTAACAATGACATCGGGACGTCAGTCACCTCAGTCCCCCGTGACCATGGGTACTGGAAAGCACGTCGGGAATTAAAAATAAAAATAATTAAAAGTAAAATTAAACGCGATAAAATCCGTAAAAGTTGTTTTAATCAATCTGTTATTTACTGGATCTTCCAGTAAATAACAGATTGATTAAAACAACTTTTACGGATTTATTTACAGATGGCCACTTTTTCGACTATTCTACTATGGGAGTTGGTACTCCTTACTTCTACACTCCATAAGGAGAACGATCGCCGTAGAAAATAGTGTCCCAGAACTATGGACACCATAAGTAAGGCGCTGCGATCACAAAGTTCGGTCAATAAAAGTCATTTTCAGTCTATTTTTCCGATCAGATGCTAAACCACTTGTACATCCACGCACAATAAAATATTTCTCCATTTTTTAATGTTTCTTTTTGTCAAAAAATACAAAATTACGGAGCATGAAAATTTTTCACCAATACCGCAGAGAAAATTTGTACATTATTCAACTAACTTCATCTACTTGTACTCATAAACAGCTAACTTCGCAGTCACTACTCACTGCCGTCAGCGCCGCTATACATTCCTTCCACCCCTTAATATGTTTTACTTGCTTATTTAAATAATATACAGTTAGTTATAAGACTAGTAAGGTTGTGAATGATAACACAATTTAATTTTTAAATTATTTATTATTTATTTTTTCCGACAGTCAAAACCTCGTCATTATCAACTGTCGTATCCGAATCTGTGCTGCTGTCATTTCCTAATTCAATTATGAATTTATCAGTAATATCATCCATACAGCCATCAAGTACATAAAACTTGTCTTCTAAATTTTTTACGTGTTCACACTGCTTTTGCCAATCCTGAGGGGTTATAGATGAAAAAGCTTCTTCAGTTAACTTCACGATATTCCCAGCTTCTTGGCCGACATTATTGCTGGCTACTCGTCTCTTTAAAAGACTCCACATAAACTCAATCGCATTTAAATCGCAGTGGTAAGGGGGCAACCTAACCACTTTATGGCCATGAGAAAGCAATAATTGGTCAGCCTCATAAATCGGCGCTTCTTTGTGCTCTTTTATAATTTCGTAAAGTTCTGCTTTCAGCATTGTTGGTATATAAGACAATCCCTTATTTGTTATCCAATTTTGCATTTGAAGT